CGATTATCATATCCTCCCATTCCCTGGGAAAATCGGGTATTAAGAGATCCTCATATCCCCCCCTTTTTCTGTCAAAAAGACTACGTATCTAAGAAGATGTATACCTCTTCTAAGAGTCTAACGAGTGTTGCTCTGCATTCGATTAAATTATTTAAAACAATCAATACAATTAAATTATTTACCAAAAAACCAATACGATTTATTTTTATGTGTACAAAATGAATTTTATTAATTTCAAATACTTGAATTTGTATGTTTCTCTTTAAATTATTATTCATTTACAATGTTATTTATGTTAATTAATTTAGTATGTTTGTTTTACGATAATATGTATGTATCTCTTTAAATTATTATTGATTTAGAATTTTATTATGTTAATTATATGAAATGTATTTTTATGATAATAAAATTCTGCTTGAAGTTAAATAATTTCATTTAATTTAATTAATTTAGTTATAAGAAAAAACCCTTACTAATATATAATAATTAACGTGTAAATTTTCGCTAGGAGGCACAAACAATACTCCGCTACAGGGGTGCGACCAATGTGCTCCCATTCCACCCAGCTATCTTGCCCTTTCTCAAAAGGGCACGGTTGGACTCGTTTAGGCATTTTAACGGCATCAAAGTCGATCGCCGACTCATCACCGCATTAGTTGAGAGATGGAGAAAGGAGACCCATTGTTTCAACTTTAGAGAAGGATAGGCCACCATCACGCTAAAGGATGTCACCATCCTAACCCATCTTCCCATCGACGGCAAACCGGTGTGCATGAGTGATCATCCCCCCGAGGATCGTGACGGTATGCCCGGTTGGGTTTATTTCATCCACAATGTTTTGGGGGTGAAAGTACCAGTCAAGGGGAGCGTTGATGCGACTGATCGCTTGCCATCAATGAGGAAACACAAAGTCTCAATTACTTGGTTGACGAAGTATTTTAGAGACCATTACGAGAGTCATCCCCTAACTGAGGAAAGTCCGGAGGATGAGAAGGAAAGATATGCTCCTGTCTATCTCATAGGCATGATCGGATGAGTGTTCTTCTCCAAAAAATCAAGCAATCTCCTTAGCTGTGGATGGCTTAGGATCATCCTAGGTAGTTGGGAAGAGATGGGGGAGTTTAGCTGGGCATCCGCTTGCCTAGCTAATATCTACCACAATTTGTGCAATGCGTCTCTAAAATCTGTGAGTGAGGTCGGCGGCGCAATGTTCATCGTCAAATTTTGGGCTTGGGAGCATATGCCATGGATTGCACCGGTACAACGTCCCGACAGGGATTGGCCAATCGATCATCCCCTAAGAGATGAAGCTTATGGTACAAGGTAAACTTCTCATACCCCATCATTTTTTTCATAAAACATTTTCCCTTGTGTTTTAGCTTATTGTAGTTTCATTATTGTCTTATTAATAAGGTGGCTCGGACACACAACATCGACAACCTTGCCCAACACAAGTTGGACAAGTATCGGAGGAGGTTTGAGCGACTTTGGGAAGGAGAGGTAACTTCTATACTTCGATCCATTTATATCCTTTTTTTCATGGAGTACATGTATTTTTCCAATTCTGATAAACTTAAGTTACTCATTTCTTTCTTGTAGATCGTCTTCGATCCATACCCGGAGAAAATCGTTCAATGGCATCTCCAGCAATTCCCCGGTCATATCGGGCAATGGTTCACGAGGGTCCCTCTAATTTGTTTTGGGACCGTGGAGTGGCACTTGCCGGATTGATGCCTCCGTCAGTTTGTTCGGGAGCTGTGCATTCCGTTGGAGGTCCCCGATAGTCAAAGGGCCTTTCACCACCGAGATGGTCGGCAAGGTACTCACGATTGGCCCACGAAGTTGGCGAAATTCATCACGATGTGGGACAACCGACATATGCAGGATATTGTCACTCCAACTCAAGTGGGTTGAATGGGGTATCATGACCCATACTTGGATCGATATCGGCAAATATCGGTTCGGTACATGACTTCGGAGGGTGCGGCTGATGGTGCATTAGTAAGTATATTTCGTCTAAACAATTAAATTTATTATTTGGCGCCTAAATTTTTTTCTAACTTTTTTTTGTTTGTGATTTAGGCTGATGGGATCGAGCGGATCAAAGATATGACCACCGAGAGAGTTGAGCTGGGCAATGAAGATGTGAGCTTCATTAGGAAGATGGCAGACAGTCTGCTTGGTTGCATCAGAGCTCAGGGTCGGGATCATCGTAGATATCCGCCCATGCCCGCACCCCCGCCACCTCCGGTACAAGTTGATGTCCCCGATCTCCCCACCACCATACGAGAGAAAGAAGAGCAAGAGGGTTCGGGAAAGGCCCAACGTGCCCGACGTAACGCCATATCAGGCGTGGAAAGTGCCGCCCCCATTGGTTGTGACACATGGTGCCGCCCCGAGTTCCTCCCAAGCTCTCTGCCCGAGTTCCCCCCAAGGTGCCAGCCCGAGTTCCTCCCAAGCTCCTCACTCGAGTTCCGCCCAAGATCCCCGCTCGAGTTCATCCCAAGAGCACCACCCCTCCTAGGGGTGGGAAACGGTGCGGTTGCGGTTAACTGCACCGAATAAGCGCGGTTAACCGCCACCGCACAAGGGAAAAACCACCAACCGTTACCGCAATGGAAATGGTTTGCGGTTAACCACTAACCGCGCATCGCGGTTAACGGTTAGTTGCGGTTAATTGCACTTCATGGTGGTCAGCGGTCGCGAGTGCTTTGCTCTGCTTCTCGAGTCCCGACATCGACAGTCGATGGAAGTGGATGCTGCTCGTGAACGTCGCCGATGGAGATGGACTGGCTGCTCGGTGCCCGCCGCTCGCTGGAAGTCGAAGCTCTTCCTCTTCGCTGACGTTTGATGGAAGTCGAAGGCTCGAAACTCTTCCTCTTCGCTGGCGGAAGCTGCTGGAAATTGGGACTTGGGAGTTGGAGCTTGGTGTTTGGAACTTTCGAAAGGCGGAAAGGGGACGCAGACGGCAGACGCAAACACTCTCAGAACCCTAGCCTAGGCAGCCGTCCGATTTTGGGTTTTGGGGCTTTGGGCTGAAGAGTGGAGAGGCCGAGAGGGTTGGGCCTGGGCTGGGTCCAAACTTCTGCGGTTAGTTATTCGGTGGGGTTTTATATTCGGTGCGGTGTGCGGTTAGTCCACAAACCGTAAAAGGACCAATTCCACTAACTGTTACCGAATAAAGGTCATTTTAAACGGTTTGCGATTAACCATAAACCGCTCTTATTCGGTGCGGTTGCGGTTTAACCGCAAAACCGCAACCGTTTTCCCACCCCTAACCCCTCCTACCACAACGATCCCCACCCAAGCTCATACTATGATCCCCGCTCGACCTACCATCAATCCCCTCCGAGTCTCCATCAATCTCCATATGATCCCAACCCGATCTCATACAACGATCCCCGCCAACCATCATACGACTCCCGCCTGGTCTACACCTGATAGACCGTTAATTACACATGTTTTTACCCCTGTTCTTACACCGTTTGAGATGTGATTTCTCGTGTTTTAGGTCGATTTCACGCTAGGTTGTGCTTGTTTGTGATATTTCAGGTCCTCGTACGTGAATGGAGGTTTGGGAGCGAGTTTGGGGTCGATTGGACGAAGATCGGGCGCGAGGCAAGTCAAAAAGGAGGCCACACGGGCACACCAACAACTCACACGGCCGTGCAAGTGACCACTTTGGCCGTGTGAGATTGTGCAAGAGCAAACACGGCTTGCCCTGATGTTCACACGGTCGTGTGAAGGAGTGGCCTGGCCGTGCGAGTTTCGCCGAGAGCAAACACGGGCAGATGGAATTCCCACACGGCCGTGCGACCCTGGCCGTGTGAGAAGCCTGAAGATCGAACTAATTGGAACGCAGCGTTTTGACTCACACGGGCAACTGGGTATGCCACACGGCCGTGTGGCCCTGCCCGTGTGAGTCGGGATTTCCTGGTTTTAACCCAATTTCGGGCTGCAAGAGAGAGAATCGGACTTTTTGAGCAAAAACAGAGCCCTAGAGAGAGAAAGGACGAAAAACACATCCTAGAAGCCATCTTGGAGCTGGGTTTCATCAAATCAAGCTTGGAGATCGTCATAGGAGTGGAAATCATCATCCCAGAGCAGATTCTTCCCATAATTATGAGTATGATTGCTTTGTATCTTGTTTTCTTCTCTCTCTATGGAGTAGAACCCCTCTCTCACTTGGGGATGAAGAACCCTAGTTCTATGTGTTAGGGATTGATTGTAACGACTTGGGATGATATTACTGTTTGATTTTAATCGAATGATGCATGTTTATTGAGTCAATTGAAGTCTTATCAACTGTTCTTGATTCCTGCTGCAATCTGAGATAGATAGAATCTGATTAGGTTGCTAGAGTCTCATCATTCAGTAGTAGGAGATTGGCTATACGAGAGTTAGCCAGTTTACTGCTTTGTACTGGAATCTAATTCCAGTAGTGGAGTTCTGTTCTTACTGCTTCAGCTTTCTATCCCGGTGAAGACTAGTCGTCTGCCGGGTAGTTAGACTAAGAGGGCTTGGTCAGCTTAAGAGATTCCAAGCTACTGTCGGATCTTCCGCAGTCTAATCAACAGTAAATCAACCCAGGGAAATACAATTGAAACCTAACTAAGGAGCTAGGGGGACTCATTCCCGAGTGACTCTTACCTGCTTGAGAAAACCGTATCAAATCCTGCTTTCTTTCTGCTTTTGCTTTTAAACAACAATCACTTGCTTTAGTTGGCTAGATAACAGAGAATCACTGAGTAAGCAGTAGATCTAGACCCCGGGTTGATAATATAACTTGCCTGTTACTGCATTCCCGGTTTGCGATTACACTTGGTCGCAGATTGGTGTTGTGTTTTAGCGCGTCAAGTTTTTGGCACCGTTGCCGGGGACCCTCTAGGTTATTGGGGAAACGTGAGAATTTGTTACTCTAGCTTTTTATTTACTGCATTTTATCTCTTCCACCTGTGTGCCTTCACGGGTTGCTTCTGCTGATTGTGTGCAGGTAGTGCATGACCCGTAGCCAGTCGGGAGATCTACTACCACTAGACCAGGAGCTTGAACGAACCTGCAGAAACTTCAAGCGGGCTCTAAAGGCGCGACTGGCTGCGGAGGAGGCGCTATCACAGCTGCAGTTAGAAGAAGAGGAAGAAGAGATGGCTGATCCACAGGGCCATGCTGTGATCGATCCCGAGGAGCAGACCATGGGACATTACTGGACCGCCAGGGCTGCAGACATGAGGTCACCCATTCAACACCCTCATGTCCCAGCCAATAATTTTGAGGTGAGCACCTTAGTAATCACCATGCTGCGCGGTTCGGTGATGTTCCGTGGCAAAGAGGGGGAGTGCCCCCGATCACATCTCAGGCGATTCCACGAGCTCATTGATGGAATCAAGATCAATGGGGTACCCGCAGATGCCATCCAGCTAAGATACTTCCCATTCACCCTGGAGGGGCAAGCCAAGGAGTGGCTAGATACTCGACCTCCGGGCTCTATCACCACGTTCGCCAACCTGGCGGAAAAGTTCCTCACCCGCTACCATCCTCCATCCAAGACGGCGGATTTGCAGAAGCAGATCATTCACTTCACCCAGGACGAAGATGAGACCATCAGGGATGCTTGGGAGAGATACACCAGTCTTTTCCTCAGGTGTCCCAATCATGGTTTCAATGATGCGTTCAAGGTGGGCACCTTCTATCACGCCCTTTTCCCGTAGGACAAACAGCTGATTGATTCGGTTTGTGGCGGGAACATGCTGACCAAAACACCGCCACAGCTGAATCAACTCTTTGAGGAGATGGCGGAGAACGGGTACGATTGGGACACTGCCAGAAGATCGAGACGAGCACCAGGCTGGGGTGTGCATGCTGTGGGCACCCAGTCATCTGATCTGGTGCAGGTGGTATCGAAGCTGGTTTCAACTATCGATCGTTCTGGTTTGATTGCAGGTACAGGACAGCCGCAGGCAATGCACTGCCAGTGGTGTGAGAGCTCCCATCACACCGTAGAGGACTGCCAGGCGATTAGGGAATCGTCTACTCCCCAGGACCATGTGGACTTTATCAGTAATGCCAGGCGCTTCGACCCCTACAGCAACACTTATAACGAGGGGTGGCGCCAGCATCCTAACTTTTCCTGGGCTGGGGCAAATCCCAGACCACCAGCTCCCCAGGGACCACCTGGCTTCCAGAGGCCTCCGTACCAGCCCAGACAGGGGCAATTCCAGCAGCCACAGCAGCCACTCTACCAGCCCAGACAGGGGCCAGTTCCACCACAGTCACAGGTGAGACCATTTCAGCAGACAGGAGCAGCACCTGCAGCTCCAGTACAGAGTGACCCGATGGTGGAATTGAGAGATTTGGTGGGTTCTCTGGCCACCTCCAGTGCAAACAAGTTCAATAACATCGAGCAATTCATGGAGAAAGCTTCAGGCAAATTCTTGGAGCTAGAAGCTGGTCAGAGAAATACACAGGCTGTGCTGCGGGATATACAAACCCAGCTTGGGAGTGTTGCCCAGGCTGTAGCTCAGAGGACTCCTGGTACCTTGCCTGGTCAGACCATTCCTCACCCGCAGGATCCGAATGCCAACTGCAGTGCCATCACAACCAGGAGTGGCAAGGTGACTACCGATCCGCCTGTTCAGGCAGAGGAGAGAGAGACCCCTGCTTCAGCACTTCCAGCTAATCAGGAAGACATGGAGAAGGAGGTTGATGTGCCTGCTCCTAAACCGCAACCAGTGGTGAAGGAGTATGTACCACAGCTTCCCTTTCCTACTCGGTTGCACAAGGACCGACTGGAGACTGAGTTTGCCAAATTCATGGCAATGCTGAAGCAGGTAAACATTAGCATGCCCTTCGTGGAGGCATTATCGAAGATGCCCAAGTATGCCAAGTTCATGAAGGATCTCCTCACCAACAAGAGAAAGCTTGGGGAGCTGTCAACGGTGATGCTCAACGAGGAGTGTTCTGCCATCCTGCAGAACAAACTACCAGAGAAGCGAAAAGACCCAGGGAGTTTCACTATCCCTTGCATGATTGGTAGTTTGCATATAGGGAAGTCCTTGGCGGATTTAGGCGCTAGCATAAATGTCCTGCCTTATAAACTATTTAAAAAGCTAGGCCTAGGTGAACCCAGTGATACTAGGATGAGCATCCAGCTTGCTGATAGATCCATTGTGCATCCTAGGGGTATAGCAGAGGACTTGATAGTCGCAGTAGGGCCATTTTCATATCCTGTTGATTTTGTGATTTTGGACATAAATGAGGATGTTGATGTGCCATTGATACTGGGTAGACCTTTTCTCGCCACCGCCAAGGCGCTTATTGATGTTAATGATGGAAAACTGATTTTGAGAGCTGGGGGTGAACAAATCACCTTCTCTGTTTCTGAAAATATGAAACACCCCCAGCTCCATGATGATCTAGATTACTGTGATGTTGTTGCTGATTTTGAGACCGCACTCGCCATCACGAGTGCGTGTACTGATGATTTCCTTGAGCGTTGTCTTTTGCTAGGGAAACAGGCATCACAGGATGTGCAGCTGGAGGAGCAGCTGGCAGAGCTGGACGAGGCCATGATCGAGGGGCGAGAGATACCATTCAAGCCGATCCCCATCTCGCCCCGGCTCGCTACATCATTGGAGGAGCCACCAGAGTTGGAGCTTAAGCCCCTCCCATCTCACCTGGAGTATGCATTTCTCCGGGAGGGGAATAAGCTCCCGGTCATTATTAGCTCGGATCTGACACCCGAGCAGAAGAGCAGGCTGGTGGCTTTGCTGCAGAAGTATGCCCGGGCTATGGCATGGAAGATCATAGACATCAGAGGCATTAGCCCATCCTTCTGCTCCCACAGAATTCTGATGGAGGATGGGGTTAAGCCAGTCAGGCAGCCGCAGAGGAGATTGTCTCCTAACTTGGAGGCAGTGGTCCGGGCAGAGATTGTGAAGCTCATGGATGCAGGGATCATCTTTTCTATATCTGATAGCAAGTGGGTCAGCCCCACTAAGGTGGTCCCGAAGAAAGGCGGGATGACTGTGGTCCCGAATGAGAAGAAGGAGTTGATCCCGATGCGGACCGTGACCGGCTGGAGAGTCTGCATCGATTACCAGCGCCTGAATGACACCACCAGGAAAGATCATTTTCCCCTACCTTTCATTGATCAGATGCTGGAGAGGTTGGCTGGCCATGAGTTCTATTGCTTCCTGGATGGCATGTCTGGTTACTTCCAGATACCTATTGCTCCGGAGGATCAGGCGAAGACCACATTCACTTGCCCCTTCGGTACCTTTGCTTGCCGGAGGATTCCATTTGGGCTGTGTAATGCACCGGCGACCTTCCAGAGATGCATGCTGGCGATCTTCGATCGACTGGTTGGAGAGATCATGGAAGTCTTCATGGATGACTTCTCGGTTTATGGAGACTCCTTCTCTCATTATCTCCATAACCTGGAACTCGTTCTGAAGAGGTGTGAAGAGACGAATCTGGCACTCAGCTGGGAGAAGTGCCATTTTATGGTCCGTGAGGGGATTGTGCTCGGGCACAAGATCTCCAAGCAGGGGATTGAGGTGGATCGCGCGAAGATTGAGACGATCAGTAAGCTACCTCCTCCCGTTTCTGTGAAGGGGATTCGCAGCTTTCTAGGTCATGCAGGCTTCTATCGGCGCTTCATCAAAGATTTCTCGAAGATTGCCCTGCCTTTGACCAAGCTGCTAGAGAAGGATGCACCATTCCAGTTCACTCCCGAGTGCACAGCTGCATTTGAGACTCTGAAGGAGAAACTGACCCATGCCCCTATCATGGTAACTCCTGACTGGTCTCTCCCTTTTGAGCTGATGTGCGATGCGAGTGACTATGCAGTCGGAGTAGTTCTGGGTCAGAGACGCGAGAAGCACTTCCAGCCCATCTACTACGCGTCGAAGACCTTGAACGATGCACAGGAGAACTACACCACCACTAAGAAGGAGCTCCTCACTGTGGTGTATGCATTTGACAAGTTCCGGCCATATCTGGTGCTCTCACATGTGGTGGTCTACATAGATCACTCGGCGATTCGCTACTTGATGAGCAAGGCTGATGCAAAGCCTCTGCTCATCCGCTGGATCCTGCTTTTGCAGGAATTCGACATAGAGATCCGGGACAAGAAAGGAGCGGAGAATGTTGCTGCAGATCATCTTTCACGGTTGGAAGCCCCTCCAGTGGACAACTTCGTGGAAGAGATCGATGACTCCTTCCCGGGTGAGTGACTGCTGGCGATGATACTGGTGGACAGCGTGACCCCTTGGTATTCTGACTTTGCCAATTATCTGGTGGGCAAGCAATTACCCAAGGGGATGGCTACTCATGCAAAGCGCAAGTTCTTCTCCGATCTGAAGCATTACTTCTGGGAGGATCCTTACCTCTTCAGAATCGGAGCAGACGGCGTGATCCGGCGCTGTGTCATGGAGCACGAGATGGGAGACATCCTGTCTCAATGCCACGAGGGACCTACTGGAGGTCACCATGGAGGAAACCGCACGGCACGGAAGGTGCTACAGTCGGGCTTCTATTGGCCCTCGCTCTTCAAGGATGCAGACTCCTTCGCACGCCAGTGCGACCGCTGCCAGAGGTCAGGTAATATTTCTTCCCGGGATGAGATGCCCCAACATATCTCTGTTATTTGTGAAATTTTTTATGTTTGGGGTATCGATTTCATGGGCCCATTCCCTCCATCTTTTGGCAATCTGTACATATTGGTTGTAGTGGACTACGTCTCGAGGTGGGCAGAAGCTCAAGCCATGCCCACCAATGATGCAAGACGAGTCTGCTCCTTTCTGAAGCAGCAGTTCTCCCGGTTCGGGACACCCCGCGCCATCATTAGTGATAGAGGAACCCATTTTCAAGGGCAATTCACTAATCTCCTCTCTCGCTATGGTGTTAAGCATCAGGTGTCGGTGGCCTACCATCCCCAGTCAAATGGGCAAGCCGAGCTGACGAACCAGGAGCTAAAACGAATTATTGAAAAGACGGTGGATCAGTCCCGTAAGGATTGGTCCACCAAGCTCGATGATGCTCTTTGGGCGTATAGGACTGCCTATAAAAATCCGATTGGCACTTCTCCCTATAGGCTTGTCTATGGGAAGGCGTGCCATTTGCCGGTAGAGCTAGAGCACAAGGCCTTCTGGCCATTAAGCTGCTAAACATGGATTTGAGTGTTGCAGGTACAGAACGTAAGTTGCAGCTGCTGGAGTTGGAGGAGTGGCGTTACCACGCCTACGAGAACACCTTGCTCTACAAGGAGTGCACCAAGCGTCTCCACGACGCTCGGTTGAGGGGCCCGAAAGAGTTTCAGGTAGGTGATTGTGTTCTGCTTTTCAATGCACGCCTAAAACTCTTCCCGGGTAAGCTCCGTTCGAGGTGGTCGGGTCCCTTCACGGTCACCCAAGTTTTCCCGCACGGTGCGGTGGAGATCAGCAATGCTCAAACCGAGCCATTCAAGGTGAATGGCCACCTCCTAAAGTTGTATTTGGGAGGTGCTGTCGAGCACGCAGAGCTGCTGATCAAGCTCGAGGACCCTTAGTTCCTAGACTGGCGTCCAGCTAAAAGACGGTAAAGAAGAGCTTGTGGGGAGGCAACCCCACCTAGGTTTGCATTTTCTACCTTTTTTCTTTTTTGTGTTTTTTGAGTCTTGAGGGGTTGTTCACGAGTTGTATGTCGTTCTGGAGTGAAAACAGGTCATTTT